TGTGATGAAGGGGGGATGCAGGTCTGCGACGGCGAGGAGGTCGGGGGCTTGCGACGGCAGGGGGTAGCGACGGCGGGGGCTTTCGACGGCGAGAGGTTGCAGAAGCATGGTCGGCGCTGGTGGCTAGATGTCAAAGGGGGGAGAGGGCTGAAAGTTTGGGGGTATAATAGGAAAGTGAACCCAATTTTCATTCCACATAAATTTGCGCGCCGAGTCAAACTGGGAAGTTTAATTTTGGACGGAGGGAGTATCATCAACCTGTTTGGCTTGACTCAACGTGGTAAATCCGGTAATTAGTTTTCAAGGTTCAACAGCGTATATCCACATCTGGAAATTACCTGACCTGATACCTGAACCCAAATTTACCTAGCCCGACATATTTGACAGGTCTACTTATGATAGTGTGTTTTTGAAAGAATTCAAGCATTTGCTTGTTTAAATGCTTGCTTTTGTGGATTATACATGTTAATTGGAGATTCCTTTTCATATAGATCCAAGAACTAGAGTTGGTGCAGTCTTTAATTGTATACATTGGAATAAATGGGGGTGCAATTAGCTTCTGAACAAGTAACTATGCTAGAGATTGAGAGCGTTGATCTTTCTGATTCAGAGCTGGTATATCATGTCAGGGATGCCCTAAGATCTGCTATCCAGGTATATATGTTCGAAATGATTTTTATGTATACTTAAATTTCTTTAAACATTTGATTGTGGTGTGCATCTGCAAAATGTGTTGTTAGTGTCTGTTACAATAATATGATTGACATTCAATAGCTATTCTTGCCTTTCGTGCCTCCGAACCAGCTGATCTCGTGATATGGATAATCTATTCTTTCTTTCTTATTCCCAGAATGTAAAAGATTGTTACTTTCTCCCTCAGATATACTCCTTCTGTCCCAAAAAGCTGTTCCTGTTTCATTTTTTGCGCATCCCATAAAACACTTCTACCCACATCTAAAATGCCTAAAATTTACAACATTTCTCCTTTATTGTGGGTAGAAGTTGTTTTGAAATTTTTTTGGCATTTAAGGCGGGATATAAGTGTTTTATGTGATGCGCAAAAAATGAAAAAGGAACATCTTTTAGGGAAGGAGGGAGTATCAAATTGTTAGTTTGTAATTATTCTTCTTTTCCCTTATTTCCTTTGCACGGACTGATCACATGCTTGTTTTAGTCATATTTGTGTACGTGTGTGTGTATGTTTATATGCATGCGTGTGAAAATTCTATGAATGGATTTTTTACGCTGGTTTTTTTCACAATACTAGTTGCTACATTTCACACAATTTTCTGTGGGGGTTGTTTGTCACAAAGGGAGGTATGCGTGGACTTGCATTCGTTCTTTGTTCTCACGTGTATCCAAAAAAAATAGATTATTGGCAATGGAGTTTGAAATCTGTTTTCCTTTTTTATCCAGACACAATTCATCACACCAATTTCCATCTTTATAGACTTAGAAAGCATAATGCCTTTATAGTGTTTTTTCTCCTCTGCATAAATCTCAGATACACCATTTTTCACTTTCTTATTCTATGAACCCTATCAAAATGAGCAACATAAATTGGGACAAGGGGAGTTTTGTTGTTCCACTTCCCGTTTTCCACTTCTAATTTTAAACAAATTCATTCAATAAGGAGTAACATTATGGTTCTCCTTAGAAGCCAATTTCAATAGGTTCACTATCCATTATATGACATTTAGTGATGCCTTTGACATTTGATATGACCTTGCTTGCCATGAATTCCATCATGTTCTCTCTCTCTAATAACCAAACTTGGCTGGTTTTAGGGTGACATGGACAAGTATTCTCAACTTGTTGGACTTATAAATCGTGATCACCAGTTATCACCTGAGGAGGTGGCATTACTCGTGGTAGGTTTTAATTCCACATTTACTATGATGAAAACCTTTTCCTTTTTTATGTTACTTAATCATGCATTTATCTTTTTTTTTTAATTTTTAAACAATATGTATGGAAGACATGCTTAAAGGCTTTGTCAGGAACTGTCTCTTTTATAGACATTGTTCACCATCGATCTCTTCTTTCTTCGGTACGTATCACTGATAAATCTTGCTAAGGGATCCTTTAGATTTATATACTCCATCTGTCCTAAAAAGGAATTCTCAGTTTCTCACCCTTACATTGCGGAGTTTAAGAGATCTGTGGCTAAAGTTTGTTTAGAAGAGAGAAGTGCCGTGAGCCACATATTTCTACCCTTAACATGCAATGAAAAAAAGTTGGAAATTAATTTTGGTACAAACAAAAAGGGAAGGCGAGAGTTCCTTTTTGGGACAGAAGGAGTATTATCTTCTCCAAAAAACTCTCATAAGGACAGCCTACAGGTATTTAGAATAGTGATGTGGAACTATGGTACTGATGTTATGGATGCTCTGATGGAACTGGTTGTATCTTTGGTATGTATTGTTATTGGTAACATTTTCCCTTCCATTTATTAGCACTTTGGCTTTTGAGTTTTGACTATGAGTACTTCAATGCCTGCAGGCAGCATCAAGTGGGCAATATGTTGATTTATGCTTGGAAATGCTTGTAAACAATTTTGTGCCACCCGAAACTTTTGTGAAATTGCTAAATAATCCAAGGGTTCAGGCAAGGAAGGGGCAAGTCCTTGATCGTGTGCATTCAACATTAAAAGCTATCGCTGATTTAGTACCACTATCACCATTGAGACTCGAGAAGATAATTAAGGAGAGAATGCATAAGATTCGTGACAAGGGGCCTGTGAGTTTGCCTATGTTCTACGTTGACCAAATATTCTCCCTTTTGAGTTGGTGCTTTTTTAGTACAAATATGAGGTCTATTTATTTCTCAGAAGACATGGATTGGACAAAATTTTATTAACAGAATAATACCGAACTAACTTGTTCATTGTTCCTCTAATAATCAGTATCCATGTGTATCTTGATGAGAACATTATTCTTCTAGCCATCTGAGAAAAGAGAGAATATTTATTAATATAATCATTGAGTATTTGGAAGGTATTATTGAATGTTCATCAGTCCATGTTAGATTGTGATTTATGCGGAAAACATGCTAAGATTGGATAGTGGCTCGCTGGGTGAACTTGTTGGGAGCACCATGCTTGTGGCAATTGTGGATAGGGTTGTAGATTTGGATGTAAGTTGTATCATAAATAAGTATTTATGCATGCACACTCTTACACACATACTTACATACCCTCTCTCACATTTCAGGTGGACATACCATGGGATTCTATTTTGCAAGATGATTTTACAAAAGGAATTTTTGACACCGAGCTGGAAGAACTAGAAGGACCTATGGATGATGGCCAACAAGATAGTTTTGAGGTAATCCCGCTTATAGCTTAATTCGTTCTCTATAATGATATTGATGTCATTGTAAGGAGAAACCCCCGCCCTAAATTAATTCTGTTAATTATGCTTATTTTTAGCTAGTAGTATCCTTTCACAACTCTCTTTGATGTTCTTTAAGAATGGAGGTGATCAACATTACAAGTTAAGTTGGTATTAAAATCAAATGGAAGAAAACTAAATCCACCCAGCTTCTCTCGTCCTCTTGCACTCATGTGCTGCTCAAGCAGCCTTACCACCATTTTTAAACTGTAGGTTCTACCAGAAATTCTCATTACTCTCATTACTATTTCTTCATCTTCAACCTCCAAGCTCCACGACAAAAATCTTAGATTCATCGTCACGAATAATACCAATCATTTTCGCTAAGATCCGTGTGGCAGCACTCATATTGCAAGCTAGTTCGCAACATGTGTGTAACCTTATATTGCCAACGTTTCTTTGGCCCATTTAATTTTTTGATGCTTGTGGAGATTGGCATATCAACTTGAGCTTCTCAATGTGTGCTAGATGAACCTTTTCAAAGCCCACCTCACCTTAGTTGACTCCGTTAGTTCCTCCAACTACTGAAGGTTGTTTTATTCTTCGGCCTTGGAATGCGACAGGTCAGCATTAGCACAAGGATATTCTGGAGATACTGGTTCAATTGCAGGTGTGCTTGATGAAAATGCTTCCTCGTACTCCCGGAGAACCTGACGGAATTCCATTACATGTTTCCTACTTACAGCTTCAGGGCAAGCTTGATCTTCAGCCCCGGAAAGTGACAGTCAGCATTAGAACAAGGGTATTCTGGAGATTCTGGTTCAATTGCAGGTTTTCTTGATGAAAATGCTTCCTTGTACTCCCGGAGAGCCTGACAGAATTTTGCAGGCCGCTAGTGCCTTCTCAAGTAGCAAACCCCGCCCACCGAGGAAAACTAATTCTATTAATAAGGCCTTCTTCCTTGCATAGGGTTATATATTATTTCCAATTATTGTTATGCATATGAGTGGAGTACAAGAAGGCACGTACAGAAGCCAAGTTAGAGGTTACGAGAGCAAAGAATGCCGCGTTTGAACGCCTCTAAAAGGATATTGAGGATAAAGGCGGTGTTAATACACTGTTCCGGCTTGCTAAGGTGCGTGAGAGGAAGGCCCGAGATCTGGACCACGTCAGATGCGTGAAGGGGAGCGATGGTAGAGTGTTAGTTGAGACTGCCAAAGTGGCTAAGCGCTGGGGGGAGTACTTTTGTGATCTCTTAAATGCAGGAGGAGACCAGAGACTAGTTTTTGATGAGCTGGGGCAGTCCGGGGCGTCTCGTGTGTATTGTCGGCGCATTTGCCTGGGAGAGGTGGTTCGGGCTCTCCGAGGGATGCGTAGTGGGAGAGCTTTGGGACCAGATGAGATTCCGGTGGAGTTTTGGAAGCATGCGGGCCGTGGTGCGTGGGTTTGGTTAACCAAACTCTTCAATGTTATCTTTCGGACAGCAAGGATGCCTGATGAGTGGAGGGAGAGTCTCTTGGTCCCCTTGTTTAAAGGTAAAGGTGACATCCAGAGCTGCGAGAATTACAGAGGCATCAAACTACTTAGCCACACCATGAAGGTTTGGGAGCGAGTCATTGAGTATAGGGTGCGGAAAGGGGTATGCATCTCTGAGAACCAGTTTGGTTTCATGCCTGGTAGATCGACTACAGAGGCCATTCACCTCGTGAGGAGGTTAATGGAAGAGTATAGGGCTAGGAAGAAGGACCTCCATATGGTGTTTATTGATCTTGAGAAGGCGTACGATAGGGTGCCAAGGGAGGTC